GGGGTTTCACCATGTTGACCAGGATGGTCTCGATCTCTTGACCTCGTTATCCACCTGTCTCGGCCTCCCAAGAGTGCTGGGATTATAGGCGTTGAGCCACCGCGCCCAGCCTGGAGGAAACCTTTTTGCACCAAGGAGGTCCAAACATCAAACTCCTTTGCCTTTTGCATCAAAGAAAAATGGACTTTTTTTCTCAAGCCATGTCTGGGGGGCTGGATAAAGAAGGTCACTCTATTCTCAGGCAAAGCACCAACTGCCCCCATTCTGTCGAGCCTAAAATTGCAGGGGGCTTCACATCTAAGAGGACCACAATATCCCTACATCCAGGGCGCATTCCAGTGTCAACACTGTCATTTACATCTCCATGTCATTATCAGCCACACCTGGCAGCAGGCGGTGTCTGCCTGCTCCAGTCTCTCCCAAGTGTGTGGATGATTAAGGCCGGGCGCGGTGGCTCAAGCCTGTAATCCCAGCACTTTGGGAGGCCGAGGCGGGTGGATCACGAGGTCAAGAGATCGAGACCATCCTGGTCAACACGGTGAAACCCCGTCTCTACTAAAAATACAAAAACATTAGCTGGGCATGGTGGCGCGTGCCTGTAATCCCAGCTACTGAGGAGGTTGAGGCAGGAGAATTGCCTGAACCCAGGAGGCGGAGGTTGCAGTGAGCCGAGATCGCGCCATTGCACTCCAGCCTGGGTAACAAGAGTGAAACTCCGTCTCAAAAAAAAAAAAAAAAAAAAAAGTAACCGGCCTCCCCTTCATTCCCACTTTGCAGGTGGCAAATGTCTCAGGTCCAGGGAGACCCTGCGGACACTCTCTACCCTCCTAACATCCAGAGCAGCAGCCATCTTCTAGTAGTCTTCGGACAATGGTGTCAGTTAAGAAGAGGCTTCTATTTTCCAAGAATGTCCCCTGCATAGAGTATCTTCAGTTCTTCCAATGATAATTTTGTTTCAGAATAACTGTGGCCTTTTATCAAATTTGTTCAATAAGTCTCTCTTATTCAACCAAAATGTGTTTTGCGTTCAAGCTTCCTGAGAGCTTCCCTCTACTTTCTGCAAAGCAAGAGTGGATTGGGTCAATTCCAGTTCCAGGGCTCATGTGTGAATGGCAATGATTCAACGTGTTTAAGATTTCATAGACTCGATTCCCAACTTTTAAAAAAGAGTATTCATCCAGGCGCAGTGGCTCACTCCTGTAATCCCAGCACCTTGCGGGGGAGGGCCGAGGCTGGAGGATGGCTTGGGTCCAGGGGTTGGAGAACAACCTGGGCAACACAGCGAGGCCCTGTCTCTTAAAAAACAAAAAAAGAGCTGGATGCCGTGGCTCACGCCTGTAATCCCAGCACTTTGGGAGGCCGAGGTGGGCAGATCACCTGTGGTAAGGAGTTCAAGACCAGCCTGACCAACATGAAGAAACCCCATCTCTACAAAAATACAAAATTAGCCAGGCGTGGAGGCACATGCCTGTAATCCCAGCTACTCAGGAGGCTGAGGCAGGAGAATCACTTGAACCAGGGAGGTAGAGGTTGTGGTGAGCCAAGATTGTGCCACTGAACTCCAGCCTGGGCAACAAGAGCAAAACTCCATCTTAAAAAAAATAAAGAATTCTAGAGGATGCTTCCCTGAAATTCAAGAGAAATGCCACCAAAACTATATCAGGTTTATTACCTGAAGGAGAGCAAGAAGCACTCGCCTGGTGTTGATTCTGCATTGAGTTCCACTGAGTTCTCATACTTAGTTTCGTGGCTCTGGACAAATTAAAGTCTGTGAGCCTCAGACACCTCCTCTGTAAATTGACTCACCCACGGGGTGCTGTGAAGATTGAATGAGAGAATGCATGCCGAGTGTTTGGCCCTGTGCCTGGCACGTACTAAGTGCTCCACGCAACAGGTGTGGCATTGATGACAGTTGGGGCTCCTGCCGACGTCCTATCTTCTCTCTGCTCACCTGGGAATTTGAGTTCTGCATCCTGTTCTTCACCATCTCTACGAATACGCGTCTCTTTAATATAGAAAGAATAGAAACAAAATTTAGCTTAGATTCCTCTTTGCCTTTTGCATCAAAGAAAAATGGATTTTTCTCAACTTTCAGATGCTACCCATTTGGAATGCTAGGGCTTCCCAGGGACAGCATTTTAAATGGGTAGCATCTGAAAGTTGAGGAAAATCCATTTTCTCAACAAGAAGGGGGTGCGGCTTTTGGGAGACCTGGAGCCCCATCTTGCTGAGTCTCTTGGGGGTCTCTGTTCCAGATTCCAGCAGAGGTGGAGGCTGCTCAACCCAGGGCCTGTGCGGAACACTGCTCTTCTCAGAGGCCCGTGTTTGTTTTAGCTGGAGGCCGCGCATCCCAGAGCAGGTGGAAGGGGCTGCAGAGGCCCCGTGGTTCACACCTCCGCATCCCAGTGGCTCAGGCATGGTGGAACCCATGATGGTTGAACCCCCCTCAGGGGGCCTGTTTGAATGCTATTGTCACCCGAAATCTGAAGCCTGCTATTTCCCTGGGTTTGATTTACAATTGCTGACCCTGCGGTCCTCAAGATGTGGCATCTCAGAGACAGTTCTCCTTGAAGAAAGAGCAGCCCGAGATACTGGGGACACCTCAGATAGGGAGGGAGCTGGGCCCCCCTCTCAAGAGATCCCCAACCTTCCACAGGGGTCACCAACCTCATGCCTACAGGGGCCAGGAAGTCAAAGAAGGGGGTGAGATGGAGATGACAGCAAACCCCGGGTCCAGGTCCTTTCTAAAGGGGCTGGAAGCTGGTGGCGTGTAGGACTGAGGACCTAGTGTCCCCAGAGTATCCAAATTTCCCAAAGAAGCCAGAAATCTGGAGTATTCTGGTAAAGTGCCTTTTTTTCGATTTTCTTTTTTTTTTTTTTTTTTTGACGGATTCTTGCTCTGTTGCCCAGGCTGGACTGCAGTGGTGCGATCTTGGCTCACTGCAACCTCCACCTCCCTGGTTCAAGTGATTCTCCTGCCTCAGCCTCCCCAGTAGGTGGGACTACAGGCACCCGCCATCACACCCGACTAAGTTGTATTTTTAGTAGAAACGAGATTTCCCTGTGTTAGCCAGGATGGTCTCGATCTCCTGACCTTGTGATCTGCCCGCCTCAGTCTCCCAAAGTGCTGGGATTACAGGCCAAACTTTACTGGACTCAGTGGGCTGTGATGACATTGACCTGTCTCAAGAGCTGTTCTCAGCCACGGTTTAGCCCACGTCACGTGGCTTCTGCATGAAGCCTGTTCTTAAAGATGCTGCTCTCTATGTCACACAATGTCCCCTCAAGGGGGAGAGTCCAGCAAGGTCTTTGTTCTAAGAACACTTGCAAGTATCCATCCATTGAATCTTACAGACACTGTCAACTGCCACCAAGTTGGTTTCCCATTTCTGGTTGGCTGCCAGGAAGGTGGAGTCAAGCAGGGCTCCCCTCAGCCGGCCTGGGGGTGGAAGTGCTGATTCGAGGCACTTTCATCCTGCTTAGTTCCCGGCTCTGTTTTGTAACCACTCCCACCTTCTTTCACCCTCCTCATTTCATTCTTAGGACAGGGATTCCTGGGGCTCCTCGCTCCTCCCTTCTCTTATGGCCTTGTCTCCAAGTCACCAAGTCACTTAGTGGCCTAGGATGGCTGCTCCATGAGCTAAAGCTGTGCTGGAATTTCCCCTCTGCCTTCTCTCACCTCAATGGACTGGGCTGGACACTGGCTTGTCTCTTAGGTCCTGTATTCAAACTGCAGGCAGGTGGGGCAGCGGCTGGGGAGGGAGGGGAGGGAGGGAAGGGAGGGAGGTGTGCGGTGCACCTTGGGCAGCGCATGCAGGCGTTTGCACACCATGAGCTCTTACCCCCTGTTGAAATTGCCTCTACTCTGTGTCTGCAACATCAGAACACCTCCCCTACCTGCCTGTCTTTCTCTTTGAAGGCACAGTTGCAAGGTGTCGATTCTTTTGTGTTTCTCGGTTCATGCTCCTCTGCACGCTCCTGAGTGAAAGTATTAGGTTAGCAAGAGAGTGCTTGGTGTGTCCTTACCTGTTCCAATCTGGGACATGCCTCTGAGGTTTCTAGGAGATGCTAGGACTCGCTGAATAGGTGGGCAGAAGATAGGGGATCACTGCGGGGGAGTCTTTTTCTTTTTCTTTTTTAGTTGAGACAGGGTCTCACTCTGTCACACAGGCTGGAGTGCAGTGGCACGACCACGGCTCACTGTAGCCATGACCTCCCAGGCTCAAGCAATCCTCCCACCTTAGCCTCCCAAGTACCTGTGACTACCAGTGTGTGCCATCACACCCAGCTAACTTTTTAAAAATTTTTAGTAGAGACGGGGTTTTGCCATATTGCCCAGGCTGGTCACCAACTCCTGGGCTGGCTCCCCCTGAAATGTTTCTGCTGAAAATTCCAGCCATCCTCCTCCATCAGCCTCCCAAAGTACTGGGATTACAGGTGTGAATCACCATGCCCAGCTAATTATTTATTTCTTTGTTGAGATGGGGATCGTGCTATGTTGCCCAGGCTGGTCTCAAACTCCTGGCATCAAGTCATCCTTCTGCCTCAGCCTCCCAGAGTGTTAGGATTACAGGTGTGAGCCACCGCACCCGGCCTGGTGTCTGTTTCCTGAGCCATCTTGTATCCACACACTGCAGCCGTCTAGCCAGATCTTACTTCTCCATCCTTGTAAGGGCCCGAGATCACCCTCCAACCCCCATCCCATTCTCATCCCGCACATCTACCAATTGCTACTTTTTGGTCAAAAACACACAGTGTTTTTGAAGTGAAGAAACCCGGATCTTGAAAATACCTGGGCCCAAGAAAATCTTGGGAAATAGTGAGTTCAATGAAACAGGACTGATACAAGGATGTATAAAACAGTACTGGCTGGGCGCGGTGGCTCAAGCCTGTAATCCCAGCACTTTGGGAGGCCGAGGCGGGTGGATCACAAGGTCAAGAGATCGAGACCATCCTGGTCAACATGGTGAAACCCCGCCTCTACTAAAAATACAAAAAATTAGCTGGGCATGGTGGTGCGTGCCTGTAATCCCAGCTACTCAGGAGGCTGAGGCAGGAGAATTGCCTGAACCCAGGAGGCGGAGGTTGCGGTGAGCCGAGATCGCGCCATTGCACTCCAGCCTGGGTAACAAGAGTGAAACTCCGTCTCAAAAAAAAAAAAAAAAAAA